ATCACATTGGTCAACATTTTCCAGATAGCGATCTTTTTTAATGAAGTATAATTATTAAATATATATATATATATATATATATATATATACATACAGTGGTGCCTATTCATTTAATTCATTTTAGAAGACCATTTGAACTCTGAATCAGTCAAAGTTCAACTCAATTTTCCCCATTATAAATAATGGAAAGTGAATTAATCCATTCCCAGACCCTAAACAATATCCATTTCAATAAACTTGAACAACAAATACGCATAATTTAATATAAAAATAACACAATTAAATGCTCTAAATAATAAATTAAAACATGAAAACAACAAATAAAATATGTAAATACTGTATAATAAAATAAAAATTGCATTTATCCAAACCAAGTTTGTTACCTTTATCACTAAATGTTCCTTCTAAAAGCAAAAAGTAATCACAGTTTTTTTTAAATGCTGAATTTATAAAATTAATGTGTGTTACACATTTTAACATAAAATATATGTTATAATAAAATGAATTTTCTTCTTAAAAAAATATACTTTGGCAATTGATCTGCCAAAGTATATGGTACAATGGTTTACAAAATGCATTTTGTAAAGTGTTATTGCATTAATTACATATCAGATGTAATTTCAATTATCATATTATTAATTAACCTTGGACCAAATATTAAATAAATATAAAGTGGAACCTCTATATTCGTAATATTTTGATGCCTTTTTTATTTTTCCATATTCATCAGTATTTTCTGTATTTGTTGTCATTCGCAACACTGGAAGTGGCACTGCAATCGCACGTCTGCACCGATCAGCTAGCCATGTTAGCTAGCTGTAGTTAATCAGTCTGCTTTATGTGGTTGTCGTGTGTGTTGTTGAGTTATTGAAAAATAATCAATGTGAGAAACCAAGTTCCAATCACTCCAAAGTGTCATCCAAATGTTGCTATAGTCAACCAAAATACAAATACATTCAATGAAAATGTAATTGCCTACTTCAGAAAAGTTTTAAAAAGCAGACAAAAACACACAACACTGAACAAGTTCTTTATTAAATCAACTGCTACTGAATCATCGACAGAACAGACCTCATGATCATAATTGGAGTTGCCTAATGTTTTAAAGGAAGAATGAAGGAAGAGGGAGAAGTAAATTTTCTTAAGGGTTTTTGGCTATAACAGATAACTTATGCCTTTTCTGTTTTAAGCAGGAAATTTCTTTCTTCACTATTTTTTTTTTTTAATTTCTGATTTTTTTGTTTCTCTGTTTATTTTATATTTTTGCGGCACTTGCAAAAGGCCAAATGGCCACAGTGTCTTTTGAGATTAAAGATTTTAATTGATATGTCTTCTTATTCTAAACAATACTACATTAATATTACTGTTTTTCCCCTTCTACCACTATACTGTATTTATTTAGTACAATAAAGATAAAGTTTTACAAACAATATAATTTTTATTTTTGTACCTTTTTTTCAGCATGGGAACAGATTAATTGAATATTAGTTATTTATTATGAGAAAAATTTTTTCTATATTTGTCATATTCCATATTTGTTAGATCCTCAGAAACAGATTAATGACAAATATAGAGGTTTCACTGTAAAAGATTATTTAAGAATCAAAAAATTTTTAATTGTTAGAAAATTCTATAGCTTTCCTAAATAAAATCCTCTAATATTCTCTATTTTCCAAAAATATAAAATATCCCCATTTTCTAGATTATTAAGCTGAATTACCAATCTGTAATATATGTTACTTTCTACTTACACAACTTTGATTATATATGCTTGTAATAAAAATAATATATTTTAAAAAATACAATATAAAATTCTTACTATTTCCTTTAAAATTAAAGGTAATATTCAATTTTATAACTTAACCACTTACATTTTTGTCTTTCAGTTAATGGACCTCTGCAACATGCTGATATACCACAGGCCATTTCTTTAAAATCTATATGCCCATCTTGATTTTCATCAAATGCATTAAAAATTCCTGTAACAAATGTTTTTCAGTTACAAAGCACTAAACTGTATAAATGAAGAATGATACTTTATTGATCATTAAGTCAAAAGTATGCTGAAGAATGTATCATTTATTATTTTTAATTATTATTTACTTTAAATTAAAAAATAGACAGCACAAACTCCATAAGAGAGTATTTTATCTTAAAATCTTTTCTTATAAATGCACTTATGATTTATTATTGCTTGGATTTTAAAAAATCAAATCTATCTGCATTAATTAATATTACTTATTTTGTCTATATTTTAATGTATGCATACATATGTTTTTTCATCTTTTAATAATTTAGCAAAAAATTACTGCTTTTTCTATTATTCTGAGGCCATATAATTCTTATTAAGCACACTACTTTTACTTCAAGTTAATGTATGAATTATTTCATTTATTAAATCAATAACTTAAAAAATCTGCTTTACTGGAAGTCTGTTATTTAATGTAAATTAGTGAGTTCAAATAAAGCAAATTTTTAAGCTATTCACACTACTTTTAAAAAATGACTTTGAGTTAATTGTAATTAGGGAATTCGATCCCGGTCCTTATTTCTAATCCCGGGATTTCGGGATTATACTTATTCGATCCCGGGATTATTTCAGTATTGAGGGTTAATAAAAAATAAGAAAATCTTACAGAAATTAAAAATCAAAATTTAGACAAAAATCAACGTATTTTACGGTATACACCTAGTTAATTTAATCACTCTAATTAATCAGACTTACAGTCAGACTAACCAGACTTAAAATCACTGTCTTCATGTTAAATTTATTCTTTTTTAAGCATCACTGAGATCTCTTTAAACTCACATAAATTGAAAAAACCTTTATGTAACAAACTATGCAAATAAACGTTGAAAATTAACAAAAATCTCTCTTAACATCGACTAAATAGACTACTTTCATATAACAACCTAGTAAGTAGGTAGTAAAGTAAGTTTCTTAGCAAAAAGTATTTAAAAATAATATTAATCAGTCACATTTTTCTTAAATATAAAGAAAACTAATCTAATAGGAACATTCTAATTTGAATTGCGAAAATATGATCTGAGAAATAACAACGCATCCAGTGTCTCATCACCAAGTCTGCTTCTCAATTTGTTGCACATATATGCAGCTGCTGAGAAAACGCGTTTAGGTTTGATGGAAGTTGGAGGAATCGTTAGTAAATACTTATAAGCTTCGAGGACACGGGGAGGATGGAAGAAAACAGTCCGGTCGACACGGATCGGGATTGTAGGAGTAAAGGCTACAATCCCGATTGTTTCGATCATTGTAAGCATGTCTTTCTAAAAATAAACGCGTTAATTTTGTAAATTCGGTCTCTGTGTGAGTCTCTCAGCGTCCAGCAAACCACTACCCCGAAACGTAAAAAGACTTTCTCGCATCATCCTGACAGATCGCGGGCAAGGCGAGGGTCGTAACCTTTTCACCTAAGGTCGACCCCCCTAAGCGAGAGGCGTCGGGTCTATATTAACCACACTGGCAAAACAAGATGGCTGACACATTGACAGGTAAAACGCACTGAGTAGTGCTCTCGACTGCGCCAGAAAATCGATTGGCGCCCGCGAAAATTCAAAAATACAAAAATGAAGTATATTACCAAGTAACCCAGTGAGAACTGCTTGCCTATCATTTTAGTTGAAAATACAAGAAGTTTTATTCCAAGCAAGCATCGCAAGCCCGCTTGGTTAATTTCTGCTGCTTGCTTGGAATAAAATTTCTTGTATTTTATATTAAAATGATAGGCAAGCAATTCTGTTAAAAGCACTGGCACTGAACGTTTCGCTTCATGCAGTCTATTTTGCAATTTTTTTAAAATGATGTCAATCCCGAAAATCCGGGATTAGGAAAACTTAATCCCGAAAATTTTGGGACTGAAAAGTGGTCGGGATCCCGGGATCCCGATTTTCGAGATCCCGGGATCAAATCCTCTAATTATATTAATTTTCATTACTATCAGTTATATTTTAATAATATAAATTATTAAACTATATAAATATAAAAATGATAAAACTTAGTAAACAAATAAAAAAAATATTCAATTGCTATCTTACCTTCACATAACAGAGATGGAACTGGTGGTGATAATAATGGATTCAATGTTTCTAAGTCAAATTTTCCAGTTCTAGATTGTGTTTTTAAGACCCAATATCTCTTTTCCAGCTCAATTATATCAGTTTCTTCCACTGAAAAATAAATTACAACCATTACTGTTACATAAATAATATTTGGAACTTGATCACTTGAAATCCAATTTTAAATTAATTTAGCTAGAAATATCTGATTTTATAAACAATGCCTACAGTTGTAATTTATGGCAACATATGATTTTATACACTAATCCCATGTTAACTTGATAAACTTGTGATTATAAAACTATTTTTGGAACCATATAAAAAAATTTCTAACAAATATTCTATTTTTGCTTAATAACTATATATTGCAATATGTAAATAGTAACTATGTGTTCTGCATTCACTGAAGATTTATATGATGAATACTCTTTTCCAAAAGAATTTTTATTCATTACTCTTGTAATTTCAAGAGAATAAAATAATAATTATAAATAAATATAATTAATGTTTAATTTGCATTTATTTTGTGAACATTGATTATATTTAATTTAACACTTCTAAGACACAAATAATTTTTTCCTTTAAAATTTATTGATAATTAATATTTGATTACCTTAAATATATGATTTCAGAAAATTGCAATTAAATTTCTGAAATACTAAAACTTATTTTTATAAGATCTTATATTATTAAATAAATCTCAACTTTATTTAAATAGAAACTCAATTTTAAAAATAATCAAAACTGCTTTAATTACAATAAAATATATTTTTTATTCTAATTACAAATTCATTAAAAACCTATGTTTCATTATATAAAATGAAATTAACTTACAATGTGTGACTCCTGCTAATGTTTGGTAAAAAGTTGGCGTTTCTAAATCATTGGACAAACTCACAGTAGATATATCACTGAGCAACCATCTTGTCAATGTTGTTGCATCTTTATTTATTAATAACCAATCACGAAATTCTTCAAATGTTACTCTTTCACTCTAAAAATATATAAAGACAATATTCGGTTAAATTTAAGATCATTTATAACTAATTAAAAACAATGTCAAATTAGCATATCAACAATTCCAATAATAATTAAAAAAAGATATATCAATAGTTTAACCATTTTGTGATATTCATTAAGTTAATAATCTAAATTAAACTGAACAGAATTTATAAAAAGTTACATATTGCAATGTCATATCGAACCTTGATTTTGCACTTTTTGAACATCTAAAGCATAGATGTTATTGTGAGGAAGCAGAAGTTCTTATATTCGAACTAGTATGTAATATTAATATTGTTCTAGTTATGTAACAATTGTTGTTAGTAGCTACCTGAGAAAGTCTCCCATTACATTTTCTTGAAGGCAACACAGCACTTTCTCGTGATCTTTTAACCTCTGGAAGGCCGATATCGTCCGTGANATCAATAAACTTAGTTGTATCTTCCCAATAATTGAGAAAAGGATATTTTTGACCATATTTAGCAGAGCCATAAAGTTGATTAAAAACCTTTAATATAAGTAAAATTTTTGTTTATCTATGTTTGTAAGATATAAAGATTTAATAGTGAGAACTTATATTATTAAATAAATCTCAACTTTATTTAAATAGAAACTCAATTTTAAAAATAATCAAAACTGCTTTAATTACAATAAAATATATTTTTTATTCTAATTACAAATTCATTAAAAACCTATGTTTCATTATATAAAATGAAATTAACTTACAATGTGTGACTCCTGCTAATGTTTGGTAAAAAGTTGGCGTTTCTAAATCATTGGACAAACTCACAGTAGATATATCACTGAGCAACCATCTTGTCAATGTTGTTGCATCTTTATTTATTAATAACCAATCACGAAATTCTTCAAATGTTACTCTTTCACTCTAAAAATATATAAAGACAATATTCGGTTAAATTTAAGATCATTTATAACTAATTAAAAACAATGTCAAATTAGCATATCAACAATTCCAATAATAATTAAAAAAAGATATATCAATAGTTTAACCATTTTGTGATATTCATTAAGTTAATAATCTAAATTAAACTGAACAGAATTTATAAAAAGTTACATATTGCAATGTCATATCGAACCTTGATTTTGCACTTTTTGAACATCTAAAGCATAGATGTTATTGTGAGGAAGCAGAAGTTCTTATATTCGAACTAGTATGTAATATTAATATTGTTCTAGTTATGTAACAATTGTTGTTAGTAGCTACCTGAGAAAGTCTCCCATTACATTTTCTTGAAGGCAACACAGCACTTTCTCGTGATCTTTTAACCTCTGGAAGGCCGATATCGTCCGTGAATATCACCAGAGGTGGCCGAAAATAGTCAGTCATCATCCGTCCTTCCGAAAAGGAAACCCACACCAATTACTCCCAGAATATCATCGACCAGTGCCATTTGGATACCTTGTGCCATCATTGTGCTAGTGGATATTATATTGGAACTAATCACCATCGGAACTATTATCAAACAAGAGCTCCATCGAGAGATCACCTTTTATCACCAGGTATTTATGCAACTCGCTCTCGTTATGTGTTATGTGTTACTCTCTCTCTCCGCGACAAAACTTAGAACCCTGTATCCTTTCCAATTTATTTTTGATTAAATCCTTGTTGATTGTTAATTGCAGGTAGAGTCTCTTTCACACGCTGTCTCTCAATTGGCTGACATTACAAATCCATCTGTCCACTTACGGGACCACTCACGCGACAGTGTGAATAGTAATTACCATCTTGGCTTCCGTGTTCTGATAAACACAGTGGTGTCAATCCTGACAGGGTATCAAGGAGGTGCTGACCCTAAGGTCACATTATACTATTGCAATTTCCATTAAAAACTAGTTTAAATAACAACACACAACATTTTAACAGATTTAGAAAGTATGACTTTTCTTCATTTAAACTTACCATAAAATTATTAATTATATAATATAAAAGAAATCAGTTAATACAATATTCAAATTTCAACAGCATGAAATTAGAATTAGTTTTGAAATCTTTCTTATTAATACATGTAATGACTAGAATTTGAATTTTAGTTAGTTTTTAGAAACAAAATGTAGTCAACACTTATAAATATAAAAATTTTATGAAGTATTTTTATTCAAGCATTTACCTCAATAAAACAATCAGCAACAGCTTCAGGAACAAATCCTCCATCACAGGATTGAACCAATTTAACCATTTCTTCTTTAACAACATATGCTCCAGATTCATTAGCACACAAATTGAATATAACTATAAAAATATAATATTATTATAAATTTAGTCAATTTGAAAAATATATCAATATATATATATAAATATATATAAACAAACTACAGTAGAGCGTCGATTTTCCAAAAGTCAATCATCCGAAAGAATTCCAGTCGGCAAATTTAAATTTTCACCAGTGCTGTGGCGCTTCAATCTTTGGCTATGTCTTGGGCTACTCAAATATTTTATGTTTTTGATACTGAATTAACATCTGAAGTATAATTTTTTTATTGTTTTTATATTTTTGGATATATTTATTTTGTTTGTAAAAAATAAAAAAATAATTTTTAACGATACAATAGTCTTTGTTAGGCTTAACATCGATGAAAATTCAACGCGAAGCGACACGCAACGGAGAAAAATTTTAACATCGGATACGCTAAACTATTTTTTTGTACATAAATCGGTTATCCGAAATATCAGTTATACGAACAACCCCAGTCCCCAATTGATTCGGAAAATCGACGCTCTACTGTATATTTGAATGAATATTTAATCTACTGTAACATGTATAAAATAATGTATAAAAAAATTTAATAAAAAATATGAGGATATAAAAATAATGTTTTTTAAATATTTATTATAAGCAATGTTTTAATATGATGAATAATAATTTGAATATTCATTTTACTATTATTATTATTATCATCATCATCATTTACATATCAGAAACAGGTGTATCATTTGCAATGACACAAACATTTATGATATGTAAATGAATATATTTATGACATTTATGTTCTATTATTATGTAAGAAACAAAAGCAATTTATGTAATCTCTTGATTAATATACAGAAATTTTTATTACAATATTTTATTTGTAATATTTATTTTAACAAATATTGACTATTTCCAGACTTTTCATGTTAAAATTCTATTCTAAAAATTTTATTTGAATTGCTCAAACAAATATATTTCTTCACTTTTATTTATTTCAGTATAGGATTGAAACAAAAGTTTGTTTGGGTATTTACATAATTGCTTGTTTGTGTTACCTGTGTTGTATTAATGAAGTTTTAACTGTAACTAAACTGTAAGTCTAGTTACAGTTATTTTTTAAAATTCTGTTAGCTTTTAAGAAAAAAACATTAAAATGGAAGATAAAAAGTACATTTTTGGCATGCTCTATTATTTCTGAAAAGGAAAATATGTGATAAAAACTGAAAGAAAATATGTGCTGTATGTATATAGGGAGGATACAATTACTTATCAAATATGCCAGAAATGGTTTGCAAAATTTAGGGCAAGAGATTTTTCTCTTGAAGATGCACCTCAGTCAGGATTGTCCTCAACCATAAATGATGATTTAATCCAAAATGATCAGCATAGAACAACACAGGAGATAGTTGACACCTTAAAAATATCCTAAACATCTGTTGTCAGACATTTGGCTAGCCTTGGATACACTTCCTGTTACGATGTTTAGGTTCCTCATCAGTTAAGTGAACAAAACCTTATTGAGCATGTTTCCGCTAAGCCGAGGTCACACCATGAGATTTCCAGTTGCGAAAGCAACCGCAACTGCAACAAGCATGAATCGCACATGTCTTCTCATGGTCATACATTGCTTGCTGATATTGCAACTCGGAAACATGTGACCCTATAATAAACCAATAAAATTACAGTAGCTTGTTTTTGACTATTTTCATGAGTTTACCAACGTTTTACATTCTATTTCAAGGTATATACAGAATTTTAGTCACTTTTCTTATTAAAATGGCAAGCAGTTCCTTTTCTGCAATAAATACAAGAAAAAAGGCAATCATTTTGATAGAGCTGGCAAGAATACACGAAAAGATAAAATCTACAATAAAACGAAGAATTAAAATCCCACAGGCATATGTAAGCCTGAATAAGCTCAATAAATCTCAATTCTGTAAAAGTATCAATCCTTTAACTTTCCTCCATGATGTTGAACTATTTTCAATGTTGTCACCGTATGACGTGGCACAAAGGCCGTCAAATGCCTTTGTGGCACTAAAGTCATGGTCACAATGTGTGACCATGACTTTAGTGATTCACTTTTAAAAATTCAATTATGATGATCCATTTTTAAAGCAATTAATAACAAGCGATGAAAAATGGATTGTTTACAACAATATTCAATGCAAGAGATCTTGGAGTAAGCCAGGTGATTCACCAGTGCTGCAATCTAATGCTGGTTTGCATCCCAGAAAATTAATGATTTCAGTTTAGTGGGATTGGAAAGGGGTTCTTTATTACAAGCTTTACAAGGGTTCTTTATTATCAAACAATTAATTCTGATAAATATTGTCTCCAACTGGATAAACTGAAGGATGCAGTGCATCAAAAACATCTGGAACTTGCAAATCAACAGGAGTGATATTCCGTCATGATAATGGAAGGCTGCACATATCATTGGATGTGGCAAAAATTTCTAGACTTTCAGTAGGATGTTTTGAGTCACACTGCATATTCTCCCTCAAACCATTATCTTTTTTGTTTGTTGCAGAATAATTTAAATGGTACAGAATTTTAATCTTCAGAAGGTATCAAAAATCACATTGATGATTTCTTCAATCAGAAACCCACCCAATTCTACACAGATGTAATTATGAAACTATCCATCAAATGGCATAAGGTTATTAAACAGAAAGACAAATTTATAGTGGATTAAAGATTTTTATTTATCCCAAAATAGTGTATTTTATTTCTCTCTAAAATCTGAATGAACTTTTGGTTCAACCCTATACAACTGATTTAAGAGTTCATTTTATTATTCTGTTCATATATCATAGAAATCATAACATTATTCAGCAATTCATGCAATCTATTGCAGTTAAGCTAGTTTCACTTTAAAAACAAAAAAAGTAAGATTAATCAAATTATATAACAGGTTTGAGTAATAAAACTAAGATTATTAAGATTAACTGTTTTTGCTAACAAAAATTTTTTATTACAATTTATGCTTCAGCTTTGATTAAGGGACTGATATCAATTGTTCCAGAGTTTACAAACTACTTCATTATATTTTTCAAAACTCTTTGTCAAAGAGAAAACAAACAATATCAAATAAATATTTGAGTTTCTTTGAAAAATGGTTCCAGTTGGATGCTAGAGATTTGAAGAATGCTAATTATGAGCATAAAAATAAAGTTTTGATAAAAGTTGCAATTATATTGAAATTACTATTTTCTACAAATCTTCTTCTTGTTTTTTATATCATATAAAAATTTCTTTACAACTGTAATGATTTCCACTGCTTTATTAATGATATTTACATTTTTAAGCCATCAAATAAATTTAAATCTAAAAGGAAATACTTCAGATTCTGAATATGGTATGTATTATATTCAAATCTTTATAAAGTATTTCAAATGAACTAGTTAAATTCTACTGTTTCAACAATGATATTTTTTAAGGCAAATATGAAAAATAAAACCACATCTATTAATTTTTAATCATTCAGAACTTTTTAAATATATATATTCTTTTTAAAATGTCAAACTGACATTGGATCCATCCAAGACTATATAAAGCAAATTCTTTCATTTAAGACCTGAAACATCTTTATTAAATAATAAAAGTATATCAAATGCTATAGAATGACTAAAAAACTAAAGGTCACAACTTCATTCTTCTTATTCTAAAATTCAGTTTTATCTGTTGACATTTTGCAATTTTGTTTTATGTCTCATAACTGCTCAATGTCTCCTTTGACATTTCTTTAAAGAATAGAATGATCCATATAGTATTATATAAAGTAGTGGTTACATTTTGCAATTTTCAGTCATGCAGACAACTAAGATGGTAGTCCCACTAACTAGTAAATTCCCTCTGAATACTGAATGAATGCAACTGCAACTAAAAACAAAAAGTTTGTTGTCCTTGAACTGACTACAAGTGTGCAGTCAATGAACAAATGTTTATTTCATCCTAACTATTTAAAATGATGGCAAAGTAAAACACCAACTTGGAATCACAATTTTAATAGATTTGATCCATAATCAAAAAATGTCTGTGGAGAATTTCTTCACTAAAATTAGTGCTTTTCTATTTAATAAAAAATAAGACATTGAGTAAATTATAGAAAAGATTCCAGTCTACGATCCCTCACATAAACATGAAGTAAGATTTACTTAAATATGTTAACAATTTCAAAATCTTTACTAATGGGAGGAAATCAGTCAAAGGTTTAGAACTAATTTTGATCTGCTGTAAACAATAAAACAAAAAAAACTGAATTTTTCTTATATGCAAGTGATTATATCATTGTGTATTAAGAAGAAATGTTTAGAATCTCACAAGAAGCCACTGAATGAATTCTCTCCTTTGGTTTCTCAAATGAGACATCTACATTTATATTCTCTGACAGCAGAGCAGTTCTGCTATTAATATCAAATAATCAAAATAAAAACCCCCTTATATATGTGATACATAGTACTCACCCAAGAAAGCAAAAATATACATATTCAATTCCATTAAATTTCCTGTACATTTTTGCTTTCTTGAATTAAGAGTCACTCTGAACTCATGACAACAATCAAGTAGGTGATACGATAAAAAAAACATTATAAAATTAAATACTTACATCTGATCTTTTCATCTTTCTTTCCTCTTGTGAGTAAAACAAGGCCACAAAGTAAATCTTTAAAAGTGATTCCTTTATGAGTGCCACCACAAGCTTGAAATATATGCTGTAAAATATTTTAAATATGTGTAATTCATTTTCAAAATTAATTTTATTTTAAGATTAGAATCTATTAAAAAAAAACAAATTTACACAAATTTTAATATGTACAGTACTTTATATAGACAAAAATAGTAAAAGAAACCATTTTAATTACATTTTATTCATCTAAAATATTTTTTAACAGTTTTTGCAATTACATTTCTTATTTTATTTATATAGTAATGAGAGAATAATAATAATAATAATAAGTCACCATCTTGCTGTGGTGAGAGCTCAGTAATTCTGATGAACCACAGAGCTATGCCAGCTGGAGCATCTGCTCCTGGTATGGTCACTCATGCTAGTGAGGTCTGTGGAGAGAAATGAAGCCAAAAGTGATTGAACCCATATCTGTGGAGATCTAACCATGGTGATAACACAATCCAAGTGTAATATCAGCTTGGGCATCAGCCGGATTAACAAGGTCCGTGCTCATGAGTTAGGCAGAGGCTCACATTCAAAAAATATGTTAGTCTCTCTAGGCCACCAGTAACATTGGTCCAAGTATGGCTACTGCAATGCCCACACCAGTTTTGGGGAAAATTTTGTGGTTTCTGAGACAATCAACCACAAACCACTAAGGCAGATAAAACCATGCCAACAGATAAAATAGACATCAGAAATGAATGAGTTTATCATCTGTACTTACTACACCATCACAAACTCAAAACAGATATGACAACATACAGACATCAGTTAAATCACTTATTTTGACAACATTATTCTCACCTCAGTCACAAGGGATGTTGAACAAAAAAGAACAATTATACATAACCTTATACCACAAACAATGCTAGAACATATCAAACAACAAATTGCAGAACAATTACATCAACAAATAAATATTCCCAACATCAACAACAATCACATAAACCATCACGATCATCAAGAGATATATTGACAATACTGTTCCTTTCATCACTATTTTCACTGCTGCTGACAATATCAACACTTCTTCACTGCTTAAAATAGAGTCAGGTTTAATTCACACTCTCTCTCTCTTCTTTTCCAGGAATCACTAACTAAATCTACAATTTGGAAATGTGCACAATGGCTGCACATTTCCAAAATCAACACTTCTAAACTAGTAGGGAAAATGCTACATTATGTGAACACTTGTATATTACCAGATTGCACTCATTATATTTCTACTCTCAGATATCCATACACTAGTCCAGGGATCGGCAGCAACCTTTCAGTGGTGTTAAGTTATAGTGTTATTCCGAGCGCTAACATGACTCTACCAAGTTATTATATATGTTATCAAAATTAGTAAAGTTATAACAGAATTCAAAAATGTATAATTTTGAAGTTATGTTATTAATTAAATTATGTTTTTACATGTGAAACACTTGCATAACATGTAGATGGAGAGACAGAGCATAAGCTCTTGTGCTGTAATAGAAATTTACAAACAAGAGATTCGTTTTTAATGTACCACAGCCTTTGCTGAACTATGACTTCCACTTAAATGATTAATTAATAATTAAAATATAATTTTTACTACATTTCTATTCAATCAGAGTGCCACTGAAAACCATCTTGTGTGCCATAGGTTGCTGACCTTTGCACTCTCTATTCTGGTGTAGTCACAGTAGTGACCTACCATGGACTAAAATTACATCCATAGACAGAAGTACACAAATAAAAAACCCTTCAGAAGCCTGCCTGGCAAAGAAGAACAGAAACACAAATAAACAATATTAGACAGCAGCTAGGCATGCTAACACAATATACTAATAACAAAACAACACCTAAATTAATGAAACAACTAAAAAAACTTTTTCAAGAAAATTAAAACACATACCAAGCATAAACAACACAATGTCCACAGAAAGTTTAAATTTATGCTGCTTTTTAGGAAGTTTAAATATTGAAAGTTCAAAGTTATGAGCAGTTCTGTTACAAATGTCAACCTTCTAGTATGACAACAGGTAAGAGGTCTGGCCAGTTTGTAGCTGGCTCATGTTCAAACACTGAGATATAATTTAAAAATTTTGCACTTTCCACATTTGGTTGTTGGTAGCTTGTTACTATAGCAGTGAGTTTTTGTTTATAAATTCAAGGTGTATCAGAAAGTGATATTCAAATAAAATTTTTGAACAACAAGGAATTTCAGGTTGGTGTATAGTAAAAAGAGTCAAAAAAATCTTGAATCAACATTTCTCAGTACATTGTTGTTTGGGTAATTAAATGCAAAGGCATGAAACATCAAGCTCAAAGAAATGGTGAAACATTCACTTCCAGATAAAGCCTCAGATGACCTGTATCAAGCAAATCATCACAAAGATGATTGGAAGAAACTGGTGAAGGGATCTAATCCTATTACCAAAATGAAGTTACTAAGTGTTGTGGGATTTCTCAACATACTGTTAACACTATCTTTTGTAAAAGATTTGGATCTTCAAACAAGAAAGATCAAAATAATTTATTTTGTCTTTTTGAACACTATATACTATATACTATTACTATTTGAACACTATAAACTATATACTATTAATAGTATATAGTCAAGGTTAATGTTTATGTGTGGATCCTTTATTATGATGGACAATGACTTTTGTTAATTTCACATGGTATACTTCAATATTTAAATATGGTTTTAATACTTAGTTAATGTAATAGTTTGCATTAATCGGTGTTCTTGAGAACTTTATATAGGAGAAGGGTTCCTCATCTGGTCATCTACCTACAACCTAAAGTATCAGGCCAACCTTCAATACAATAAGTCAACCATAGTTGAACCTGTTGTCCACATTTAACATAGCAAATCTGGAATTAATTATGTATGCATAGAAGAGATTCCCATTAAATCACCCTATGCCAGTCTGATGGACTGTTTCAGCTTGGAGTTTTAAAGCAATCTCTCAAAGATTGCATGACAACTACTGCTGTTGGAATTTGACTTTGAAGTGCTGGATGAGTAATGGACCAAACTGCTGTAAAATTTTCAAAGAGTAAAAATGTGGAAATGAAGATGCCATGAGGTTTGTAGAGTTTATGGACAATATATTGAGCAAAACAAGTGTATTCACAAATGTGTATTAAAGGATAAAAGTTAGAAACAAAGGTAAGTCAAAAGATTCTTATAATTCTCTATATTTACAAAATAAGTTAAACATGATAATTATAATATTAATTTCTAAATTTTAAATTGCCTAATCATGTCAATTTTAAAATTTGCCTTTTCTTTTTTCCAAATAGAAAGTTATTCTTCATCTGTTTATTACAAAATTTAGAAATAATTTCATTTAAAATTCAATTTAATGAAGTTAGGTAGGTCAACACTCCAAAATCTTTTACCCATATTTGGGAATTTAACATTAACTATTTTCCAAAATCTATAACATCAATAAACTTAGTTGTATCTTCCCAATAATTGAGAAAAGGATATTTTTGACCATATTTAGCAGAGCCATAAAGTTGATTAAAAACCTTTAATATAAGTAAAATTTTTGTTTATCTATGTTTGTAAGATATAAAGATTTAATAGTGAGAATATGTAAATATTTTAAGTTTGTTTCTTCCAATACCATAGAGCAGGGCTTCTTAAACTTTTTATATTCACGACCCCATTTATGATTGTGAATTTTTTCGCAACCCAAAAAAATCTAAAATAAAAATATATACAAATTTGCAAAAACAATAATGGTGTACTACCACAGTTCACTCTTGTGTTACAATGGAACAGAGACAACTGAATACACCGAAAAGCGACAACACTACACTAGTTCACACTACAGTGTTGCTGAATCATTGTCTCGATTGAACCCATATCTGTGGAGATCTAACCATGGTGATAACACAATCCANTCTTAAACTTTTTATATTCACGACCCCATTTATGATTGTGAATTTTTTCGCAACCCAAAAAAATCTAAAATAAAAATATATACAAATTTGCAAAAACAATAATGGTGTACTACCACAGTTTACTCTTGTGTTACAACGGAACAGAGACAACTGAATACACCGAAAAGCGACAACACTACACTAGTTCACACTACAGTGTTGCTGAATCATTGTCTCACTCCACCAGAAGTGACACAAAGCGCAACTCACGAAACCTATGACACAAAGTGTGCCATTTTCAAACTCTCGCAAATTATTTTCAATATTTTGCATTAAAATCTCGCAACCCCAAGATTTCGCTAGGTGACCCCAAATGGGGTCATGACCCATAGTTTAAGAAGCCATGCCATAGAGCAAAGGTGGCCAACCCAAGGCCCACAGGCTATGAAGTGCCTCACAGCTACATTTGGAATGATTCACATGGTGATAGAGCAAAAAACAAAAATCAATTAAGAAAAAGAACAATACAAAATCCTTGAAATTAAAAAAAACATGACAAGTGAGAACTAATCAACATTAGCATAAATTTTGAAAATAAACAGTATTTTAATAACTTCTTTAATAATTAAAAATATAAAATAAATCAATTTAAATTAAATTTAAGTTATTCCCTATAACATCACAAACTAACATTTTTATAATGCACATGAATGAAACAATACTTGGTTGCACTGAGAGAAATGCTCTCAACCACATGGCAACACTGCTATTGAGTCAGCTGTATCAACGTTGTGTTGACTTATTGTGTGTTAATCTTTATGTATAGTTGCCAGCAGTTGAGATGTGACAGTGATCGTGTTTTATTTTTACAAGTTTGAAATTTTTTGTTAAGTGTAATTAAATTAGGATTAAGTTCTTACAAATGGCTCTCAGTAAAGCTGGAACCATCTAAACAATAGCGTGAAAATGATGTGATGATACGGACTTTCAATAACAATTGGGAAGAACAATTTCTCTTCAAACAAGGGAAGTCATCAAAACCTGTGTGTTTGATCTGTTCTGCTACAGTTGAAATGCCAAATAAATATAATTTAGAAAGATACTTCAAACAGACACATGAGAACTTCAGCAGTAAGTATCAAGCAAGATCTTCTCTGAGAACAGATTATATTT